GCTCGTCAGAAATCGTCGGCAAGCCCAAATTCCGCCGTACTCGAGTCTTACGTTTCCTCGATCCAGGGAGGGGCACGAAGACAAGAGCCGATGCGAGCCGATGCTCCTGGTCTGCGATTGGCCTGGAGACGGGCTCGCGGGTGCGAAGAGAACGCCGCTGCTGGGCGGCGGCATCCGGAACCTACCCCCACCAACCATCGATTCTCCTGAGTCGATGGGAGGCGGGGGCAGGCTTAGGAGTTCGCCGCGTGTTCGCCAAATTCCGAACCCTACCCCTGCCGCCCATCGAGTTGCCTGAGTCGTTGGCACAGTCGGACCTAGGCCAGGATAACATCCTCCAAGAACATGAGACCCTCCGCCAGCCAAGGCACGTAGAACATCCCAGGGCACCCTCCCGCAGGAGCATCCAACCCGGCATCCCTATCGGCCAACCACGGCATGCTCTCAGAGCATGAACCCGACGTGCCAGAACAGGACAGCCTCGGCCAGAAGTGCTCCGAGGGCAAACATCCCGTGCAGACCACGGAGGGCTCTCGGAGGGCACCCTCCGGCGGGCCCCTGGGCGAGCCAGGACGCCTCGCCGCTGCCCGATGCTGGCAGCTCTCGCGAGCGAGCCGGGAGCCCCTCGTCCCGCGGCCCGCCCATGGGGCGCCCGCGCCGGGGGGGGGGGCAGCGACGACGCACGCGTGCGCGGGGAGAGGGCACCACTGAGAGGGCTCACAGACACACAAAGAAGTACACACCTATAGGAGGATTCCCCCCATTTTCCCACATTTTCTGGGCTTCTGTCTTCCCCCACGCTGCCCATATTTTCCCATATTGTCTGGGGAATCGACGATTGATTGTGTCTGGGTGTTTTTTCCCCTCCTGAGCCACGAGCGGCAGACGTTTCCGCACCCGCACCCTCGCGGTCTGGCTTCCCCGGGGCGCGACGCCGCGGACGCGCGGTCGCGCGGGCACGCTCCGCGCGCGGGGGGGCAGCCGCGAGGAAGCGCTCCGCCTCCGCGGGGCAGCGGCCCAGAGGCCCCGCCCGCGGGGCCGCGGATGCGGATATGATGTTCGCCGACAGGGGAAGACTTAGGTCGGGCCTGTCCCCCATACAGGGGGATTTTGGACGACAGAAATATTCAAATAGTCAAAAACTACTCCACAATGAATCAAAACAATAGTTTGACCAAATCCTCCCCATATTTTTGCCTATTTTGAACATCCCTCCTGCAGAGGGACACGCCCGACTTAATCGTAGACGAGCCATTCTCTGCCATGTGAGATCGCCACTGCGAATCCAGAAGCGTGGCCTAGGCTGGAACGGGGGTGCAACACTCTGGGCTGGGGGTGCGGCCCGGGGGGTCGGAGGTCAGAACAGCCCTGGAACGAAAGCAGAACGTGTGCTCTTCTGGACGGCGCGGGCTGGTCCAGCCTGCAGAGGAAGGGCGGCACGGACCAAGAAGTCGGCTCTGGCCGCTTCTACCCGCGTGGCCGCCCGCTCATCGGACGCTGCGCACCGCCGAGCCAGGCTCTGGGGCACCCTGTGGACTAAGCTCCCTTCGACCCCTCTCCCGCGTGGCGCCTGCAGCGGCGCCCGACCCGGCAGACGCGGCATCGCTCGCAGAGGTGGCCTGGGCCATGAGCCGCTTCAGGATGCCCTCCTTCACCTTCCGGGGGAAGCCGGACGGGGACAATGGAGGAGCGGAGTGCGGAGACGACGGCGACGACGGCGAGGGCTCAGACGAAGACGACGGCGGCGATGACTAAGACGACGGCGGCAGCGGTAGCGACGATGACGTCTACTTGCTTCCTCACACCCCAACGTGTGGGGACGAGTTCGGCTTGGCACTGTGAAGGGCCGGGGGGCCAGAGATCAGTAAAACTTGTTCGACGTGGGCCAGAGAGGGGCATACAGCCAGAGCAGACAAGATCTAGTTAAATATTGAGCAAGGACCGGCCGTCCCAGCATTCCTATAGCCCTACCACGACATGTTCTTAGAACCCAGAAATGTTCTAAGAACGAAAACAACGTTCTCAGAACATTAGCCCGATGTGTTAAAACACGACAGCCTCCGCCAGAAATGTTCTAAGAATATTTCGTGGAAGCCACGAAAGGTTCTCAGAACATTGCTTGGTAGGGATTTATAGGCGAGCCGGGACGCTTCGCCACTGCTTGAAGAGACCATCAGGCATTGCGGAATTTGGCGCTGAGGCCTCGGCCTCGAGGTCGGCCGATGCTTCAGCCGGCGTGTGAGAGCTATTCAGCTGGAGCGGTAGTTATGACTTCACCAAGGAGGCAGGGCCGATGAAACAGGACAGGGTTTCAGGACGCTGGCGTGACCAAACAAAGCAAATTTCACACGTTCCTCATCCCTTGACTCCTCCTCCTCCTCCTCCTCCTCCTCCTCCTCCTCCTCGACGGGCACCCTTGGCGTCGAGCCGAAACTCTGTCTGCGTGGAACAAAAACTCCGTCAGCGCGTCGACTCGGCCAAGAAGCCTGGGATTAGGATGCAAGGAGCGCTGCCGATATTGGCGTCGCGCAAAGGGGGGTAGGGGGAGGGGGGGGAAAGCTTCTCAGAAGGAGCTTGCTTTTCAGAATGCGCTGGATAGCAGCGCGCACTGGAACGGCTTCGGTGAACATCTTTTTGGGGGACACGCCAGGGTCGCCGACCTGGTCCCCTGAGGCCCGCCGCAACCGGGGGAGGAGGCACGGGAGGGGGGTTTTGTGAGGGCGGTACTGCGTTTCGTCGGCGAGCGAGGGGGGGAAGTGAGAAGGGGCGGATCTTCTCACAAGGCTTGGAAGGCCCCCGGCCTCTGGGAGTTTTCGGAGCCTTCCATGAAGACACAGAAAGCTTCTCAGGAGGCGCGAGGGCCTCTGAGAAGCCTGGACTCCCCTTGGCGTGGCTTGGCAGCGAGGGCGAGGGCCCCCACTCGTCGCCTGAGGCCTGCCGCAACTGGGGAAGGGGGAGGCACGGGAGGGGGGGGGGGACGATACTGCATCGAGTGGACAAGACTGGGCTGGTTTGGTTCGTAATGTCGGGTGCGTCCAAGGGGTGGGGCATCCAAGAGGCAACTGCTGGCCCGAAGGTTGCGCGCGGCCCGAAGGGGGGGGGGCCGGGGACGCACCGAAATCAGAAGAGGCGCCGCGCAGCTAGGGGAGACATCGTGGCGCCCGCCATGGTATCCACACCTCCCAGGTCAGCACCGCCCCCTTTGCCGCCCCCCGATCGGGACGGCGGAAGCCTGGACTTCCCTGGCGCTCTTCGCGCCGCCCCCCGATCGGGACGGCGGAAGCCTGGACTTCCCTGGCGCTCTTCGCGCCGCCCCCCGATCGGGACGGCGGAAGCCTGGACTTCCCTGGCGCTCTTCGCGCGGCAGCCGGCGCTCTCCGCAGCGCGCGACGGGCGCCGAGGCGCGCAGCGGGGGCCGCCGATCGGTGCGGACACCTCGCCCGCCACAGGCCGACCTGCCGCGCACGAGCTCGTGCACGCAGCCGTGGACGTGGGAGGCAGGGGGGCGAGGCGCGCGACTGCCTGCCAAACCGCCCCGACGCAGCCCGAAGTCCCGAATTTCGGGGCGGGGGGGGGGGGGGGCGCACGGGCTTCACTCTGTGCTCTTGTCGATGTTCTGAGGGGCTCCGCAAGAAGAAGCCTCCTGCCTCCGAAGAGGCCTCCTCAGAAACGCCTGCGCCCTGGAGAGAGGCCCCCCCCCGCCCTACTTAGCAGGCCGACCCCCCCGCCCCCCCCCCCTTGCGCCCGCCGCCGACAATCCTGCGCGAGCGCGCAGGCCAAGCGCGCCGCGCGCAGGCACCGGAAGTGGGGAGCGGGCCACGGGGGGGAGAAGGGGGGCAAGGTCGGCCGGAATAAAAGGAGGGGGACGGGGGGGGGGAGCGGGGGCACGATCGGGGAGCGGGGAGGGCGGGCATGGACGGTCGGAACAAGGGGATGCAGCCACGGGGGGAAGGGGGGGGGGGCACGGTCGGTCGGACCAAGGGAGGGCGGCAGAAAAAGAGAACGGGGGACACGGCTGGCAATGGGGGTGCACGGTCGGGAAGAAAGGGAGGGGGCCACGGGGAAAGGGGGGGGGGAGGTCGGTCGAAAGAAAGGGGAAGGGCGCGGGGGAAGGCGACGAGTGTGCCAGTCGTGTAGCCGGGGGGGAGGGGGCGCGGTCGGCCGGAAGAAGGGAAGAGGGGGCGGGGGGGACGGGGGGAGGGGGGGGGCACGGTCGGCTGAAATAAAACGGGGAGGGGGGGGGGGGAGGGGGGAGCGGGGGCCACTGTCGGGCAGCACGGGGGGGAGGAGGCACGGTCGGGGGGCGGTGGGGGGGCGCGGGGGCACGGTCGGGCAGCGGGCGGAGGCACGGTCGGGAGGAATAAAGGGAAGGGAGCCGCGGGGGGAGGGGGGGGGCACGGTCGGTCGGAACAATGAGCCAGGGGCGGGGGGGAGGCACGTCGCAGCTTGCATCTCGGCCCCCAGCGCACACCCCAGTACGTCCGACACATCTCAGCACACCGATCCCAGCACACCGCCCACATATCCCAGCACACCCAGGCATGGTCGGCCGAAATAATGCAGTGCGAGATCACAAGGGTTGGTATGATAATAATGTGTCTTCCACTATGAGCGCCCTGGAGGGAGTCGTCTCGGGGCCTCCCCAGAGCGTCGCGGGCTTCTGGAGAGAGGTTGAAGTAACAAATGAAAAGGTCCATGAGTGTTGCAATCAGTTGCCAAAGAAATGCGGAAGGCAAATGGTGCGCTTCCTTTGATTGTGGACGGGCGTATGGTGCCCATCTCGAGGAAATGTTGGGCCGCCTCAGGGCGCCTGGGGGCCTCTTGGCGGCCTATTGGGGGTTGGCTGGCGGTGTCGGCTGTCGAGGTCAGAGGGCCCACCTATGGGCTCTCATGGAGGCGTCGTGGGCCGTCTTTGAGCTGCTCCTGGGTCGTCGTGGGCCTTCCTGGGCCATCTCGGGGCCCTCTGGGACGCACCTTGTGCCGTCTTGGGCGGTTGGGCG